ATGAGGGTCATACCTCTTATCAGAATCCTGTGGGGGGGGAGGATTTTTCACAAGATTCCTATGGCTAGCAGAGGATTTGGGCTAAAAAAAAGTTAAATACTCAGTGAAATATCCCCCTGATTAAAACAGCATGCAAAATGTTATCCAAATGGAAAAACAATCTATTTGGAGTTCTTTTTTTTTTTTTTAAGATTTATTTATTTGAAAGTCAGAGTTACACAGAGGAGGGGCAGTTGGCCACAATGGCTGGAGCGGCACTAATCTGAAGCCAGGAGCCAGGAGCTTCCTCCAGGTCTCCCACATGGATGCAGGGGCCCAAGGACTTGGACCATCTTCCACTGCTTTCCCATGCCACAGCAGAGAGCTGGATTGGAAGTGCAGTAGCCAAGACTCAAACCGGCGCCCACATGGGATGACAGCACCAGAGGCGGTGGCTTACCTACTACACCACAGCGCCAGCCCCTGGAGTTCTTTAGCTTCTCCAAGTTGCCAAGATTCAAAGAAGATTAAGAAGTACTGGTTTAGACTAGGAGAAGTATGGCAGCTCACAGAATCATTATCTCGGGATCATCAGAACTTAGCAGGAAGTGCAGCCAAAGAAACAGGGAGAGAAGTCTGGGAGCGGCTGTAGTATTGAGAGATACTTTGGGGCTTTAGTTACAGTGAATTGATGGTAGTAATGATTGTACTAGTTAATGTCAGTTTTTATAGAGCAAGTGTTTTTGTATTTGTTGGCATGTGTAAGAACTGCACGAAAGGGAGTGCTATATAATTATCACTTCAGTGAGTAAATGAGGGGATTACTATGAGCTCAGTGTAGACAATGGGAAGGGTCCTGACCCAAAAGCATCCGAGAGCTGAGGCTCTGCAAGACGAGTGCCTCCGCTGTGACCGTGGGAACAGGAGTGCTGCTGAAGCTAGTCGGAGATTAGGATCTGCTTAGCAAGAACGGACATGCATGGAGAACCAAAGTACCAATCAAAATAAAGCTAGTGCCGAGGAAACAGGGAATGTCAATCAAAACAAATGCCATGTCTAGTGTATCTAGAAAATTCAGGAATGAAGGACAGCGAAAACCAAAACACACACACACACACACACAAACCATCATCATGAACAACCATCTACTAAAACAGCCCTTGAAGAAGCACCACGAGAACACTCTGAACCAGATGTCACGTGAAATTAAACTACGTTCGCCTGCTACAAGTTGGGCTGGGCGCCTTTGCACTCGTGGTAACACAGAATCTAAGCGTGATGATGCTCAAGAACTGTCGAGGGCATGTTTGGTTGTATCAGTGTTGAGAGAAGTGCTGTCTCTTGGCAGTTAGTGAATACAGACCAGGTCATTCAGATATCCTGCATTATTTTTTAACAAGAAGTTACACCCAAAAAAGCCCAGCTCTTTAGAGGAAGATTGTGACAGAAAAGGAGTGTAAAAAGACAGTTTTTGAGAGGTAGAGAGACATAGAGACTGTTCACCCACTAATTTACTCCCTAATTGCCTGGGAGCCCAATCTGGGTTTTTCACGTGGGTGACAGGGACTCGACTACTTGCCTCATCTCCTGCTGTCTTGCAGCGTGCACATTAGCGGGAGCCAGGATCAGAAGCAGGCTGGCACTTAAACCCAGGCACTATGATATGGGATGCAGGCATCACAACCAGTATCTTAACCACTGCCCTGACTGTTTTTTGTTTTTTCAAGGCTGGCTCATTTGTGAGAGTATCACGTGCTGTTTATTTTCATTCTGAAATTTCTCACACCCATCAACCTCCACATTTATCTTAAAGGCATATAATCTGTCTTTCCAGGTCTTCTTCCATTAGAGGTATTTCCCTCTTTTGCTTATCATAAACAGATCAGTCTGGCCTGTTATTAGTTATCCCAATGCAGTTTTTTTTAAGCTAGTGTCCACCTGCACTTCTTGTACTGCGTAACTCCCTTAAACCCAAACTTATTTTCATTATTAGTAGCTTATCTGCAGAGAGAAGGAATATAATGGAGTTTGGACCCTCACAGGAGGGGAAGATTTGGGATTATGGGGGGAATGCAATTGAAAGCTGACAATACAGGGGCCAGTGCTGTGGTGTAGTAGGTTAAGAAGGGAGCTGATTGGCCGGTGCCGTGGCTCACTAGGCTAATCTTCCGCCTTGCGGCACCGGCACACTGGGTTCTAGTCCCGGTCAGGGCGCCGGATTCTGTCCCGGTTACCCCTCTTCCAGGCCAGCTCTCTGCTGTGGCCCGGGAGTGCAGTGGAGGAGGGCCAAGTGCTTGGGCCCTGCACCCCATGGGGGACCAGGATAAGTACCTGGCTCCTGCCATCGGAACAGCGCAGTGCGCCGGCCGCAGCGCACCGGCCGCGGCGGCCATTGGAGGGTGAACCAACGGCAAAGGAAGACCTTTCTCTCTGTCTCTCTCTCTCACTGTCCACTCTGCCTGTAAAAAAAAGGGGGGGGGAGCTGGTTTGTGTCCCAGCTGCTCCTCTTCCTATCCAGATCTCTGCTAATGGCTTGGGAAGGCAGTGCAGGATGGCCCAGGTGTTGGAGCCACTGCACCCATGTGGGAGACCTGGAAGAAGCTCCTGGCTCCTGGCTTCAGATCAGCCTAGCTCCTGCAGTTGCAACCATTTGGGGAGTGAACCAAGAGAAGGAAGACCTCTCTCTGTCTCTGTAACTTTACCTCTCAAATAAATAAATAGATCTTTAAAAAAAAAAAAAAAGAAGAAGAAGAAGAAGAAGAAGAAAAGAAAACTAACAGTGCATGCATTGAAGGGCACTTGTTGGAAATTAGCATGAATTTGCACTGGACATGGTCACCCTTGTTTCATGACTCCACAAACATGCAGGCAGCTCAGAAGCAGAGAGGCTAAAGTAGTAGGACCTGGGCCGATGACACGGATGGTAAATCTGGGTGGGCCACTTCTCTGCTTACAGTCCTTCAGTGGATGCCCATTCCTTAACAGGACCCTCACAACCCTCCCCACCTGGCATTGCCTGTTCCTCCATCCTCCTCTTTACCAATCTTTTTTTAAGATTTTTTTTTATTTGAAAGGCAGAGTTACAGGGAGGGAGAGGGAGAAAGAAGGGGTGGGGGTTGGGTGCGGTGGGGTGGATACAGAGGTCTTCCTCCTGCTGGTTTATTTCCCTGATGTCCACAGCAGCCAGGGATAGGCCAGTCTGAAGCCAGGGGCCAGGAATGCTATTCTGGTCTCTCATGTGGGTGGCAGGGGCCCTAGTATTTGGGTCAAATTCTGCTGCCTTCCAAGGCACATTAGGAGGTAGCTGGATTGGAAGCCAAGCAGCTGGGACTTGAACTGGCATTTAGACATGAGATGCCAGCATCACAAGCAGTGGCTTAACCCAGTGTGCCACACCACCAACCCCTTCCCTTGTCCTTTAAGCCCCATCACCCTGACAGGTTTCTTTCATCCTCATGGTTTCTGTACACACTGTTCCTTTTGTTTGTCATCCACATATTCACTCCCTATCCTTTCCTTCCACTTAAAAATCTCTTCTTCAGAGAAGACTTCTCTGACCCCTAAAGCCAATGAGAACACACTCAATCTGTAGAGTCTCTCAACATATGCTTTACCAGTCTTCCGTTGGACCTATCACAAGTCTACATTTATTTGTATGAATACCTTTTTTTTTTTTTTTGACAGAGTGGACAGTGAGAGAGAGAGAGACAGAGGTCTTCCTTTTCCGTTGGTTTACCCTCCAATGGCCGCTGCAGCTGGTGCACTGTGCTGATCTGAAGCCAGGAGCCAGGTGCTTCCTCCTGGTCTCCCGTGCCGGTGCAGGGCCCAAGCACTTGGGCCATCCTCCACTGCACTCCCGGGCCACAGCAGAGAGCTGGCCTGGAAGAGGGGCGACCAGGACTAGAACCCGGTGTGCTGGCACCACAGGCGGAGGATTAGCCTACTGAGCCGTGGCACTGGCCTGAATACCCTTTTCATGCACAGAAATAGCTCCATGGAGGCTGGTACTTGGTCTGTGTTGCTCATTTCTCAATTCCCAGAACCTAGCCTTACACCTAACACTAACAGGAACAGTGAGTTCATTGAATGGATGAATGAATAGCAAAAAGATTTATCTTTAGAATCTGGGGTTTTTGTTTATGGTAACTGGATTTTCATTTCTTTTTCTGTTAAATGGGTATAATGACCATAACTGTCTATCTCAGGACTGCTGTGTAGATTTAAAAGAGACAATGCAAGTAATTTGCTTAGCATGGTGTCTGGCACACAAGGGCTAGGAAATATCATCATTAACTTATGCTCTGTGGCCACTGGAGCTCCCATACCTTACTGGTGGGAATATGGAAACACAGCCACTCTGGACAACAGTTTACCAGTTCTTATAAACACAGACACACCACAAACTACCAAGCCCACTTCAAGGTATTTATCCAAGTGAAAAGAAAACTTACGTTCACACAAAAATCTGCACATAAATGTTTGTAGCAGCTTTATTCATCATTGCTAAAAACTGGAAACAACCAAATATCTTTCATCCAGGGAATGGACCAGTACTGTGGGATATCCACACGGTAGACTACCACTCAGCAAGAAGAAATGAACACTGCTCCATGCAGCCATGTGGATGAATCTCAAGGGCACAAGCCAAGTGAAAGCAGCCAGACTCAAGGGGTGACACTGTATGATTCCATTTATAGGTCATTCTGGGGATGCCAAGGCTACAGGGACAGCAATCGGGTCAGCGTTTGCCAGCAAATGGGGTAAGAGGGAGATTTGTGCGATGATGGAACTGTCCGAGAGCTACATTGTGGCAGTGGTTCAAGCAAGCATGCATTTATCAAAACTCATGGCTCGGCAACCCAAAAGGGTGCATTTTAGTGTACGTAAATTATCTTCATTTTTAAAATGGAAAAGTCCAAGACATGTAGATATAATTGCCTTTTTAAAAGGAATTCATTTTCTGAGTATAAAAGTATAAAAGAATCATTGTAGACATTTGGGAAAATGTGCAAAGAATGTACCTTACATCGTGGAGGGCATCTGGCACAGCAGTTAAGACTGCATGGGATGCCCGCATCCTATATCAGTGCTGGTTTGAGTCCTGGTTGCTCCGTTTCCAATCCAGCTTTCTGCCAATGCATCTTGAGAGGCAGCAGATGATGGCTCAAGTACTTGGGTCTCTGTCACCCACGTGGGAGACCTGGCTGAGTTCCCAGCTCCTGGCTTCAGCCTGGCCCAGCCCCAGCTGTTGTGGGCAATTGCGGAATGAACCAGTAGATGGGTAGATCTCTCTGTCTTTGTCTCAGCCTTACAAATAAAAAAAAATAGGTTTTTAAAAAATTTATATCCCATCACCTTTGGAAAAGTAATATTCCATGCTATCATTTTTATAGGCACAAAATACACATACACACTCATAAAATGGGACTATGCTGTATATTTTTGCCTTCTGAAATATATTGTGTGCATTTTTCCATGTCATTAAATAATTTCCAAAACCATGATTTTATGGGTCGGTAATATTCCATGGCATAGCCAATTTATATCTTAAGCATTTTTATTGTTAGAAATTGTATTGTTCATATAATTGCTAGTTAGACATTAAAAAGAAAATATATAATTTCCACTTTTTTTTTCCTTTACTGTAAGCAACTCTTATAAAACGTTAAAAAAAAAAAAAAAAGCTAGGTGGGGCCAGGCCTCTCCCGTTCTTCCATCACGGTTTCACAACGTTCAACTGGTAAAGCAACTCTTCCTTTGGCGCAACTCCCTCATTGTTTTAAGTGTCTGCAGGAAAAGTGGTTGCACAGGGTGATCTGGCTTTTTTCCCTTTGGTGCACAGGGTTAAACACCCCCACACTGCACCCTCACTAGGTCCGTGCAGGGTACGCGGGGCGGAGTCATTTTTTCAGGATCACACGGGGTATCAGGGTGCAGTGGGCCGCGGACCCCGATATTCAGCCTCATAAAGTGAACACGGTCTTGTTCGCCGCCCCCGCCCCGTAGGGAAGCTTTCAGTCACCCGGAAAACCCTGCCTAGCGGCTGGGCACTAGCGCAACATCTCTACCAAGTAGACGCCGTCCCACCCGACCAACGTCCTTGGCAACGCCGCCACTTACCAGCTGGGGTCACTTCACCCCCGATGGCAGGGGGACACCTACTGCCACCGACCAAGGGGGCCCCGCGCGGGGTGCGGGGGGTCGGTCGCGACGTTGCTGGGCTTACGCTCACTGCGACGTCCTGCCAGGGGGCCAGGCCCCCCAGCATCGGGCCCTCCGGCGAGGTGAAGAAGGCCCCCACCATCTAGAGGACGAGCTGAGGGCAGGCAGAAGCCGCCGGGCTCAAGGGCTGCCCGGGAGACTCCGGGACGTGACAGGAATTTCTCCAGAGGTCAGTCCTCCGCTATCCCAGAGTGCCCCGGATCCCGGAAGTGGCGGGCTTCCCGGAAGTGCTGGGCTTGGCTGACAGAGCCGGGGCTTGCTGTTCTGGAGGCTGGGAGGCGGCTGGAGGTGCAGGCAGGGGTTAAGGCGGGTGTCGCCAGGGGGCTGGGTGGCGGGATGATGGAGGAGGAGGAACTGGAGTTCGTGGAGGAGCTGGAAGCCGTGCTGCAGCTCACGCCCGAGGTGCAGCTCGCCATCGAGCAGGTGAGCATTCCGCCCCCTCAAGAAGGGAGTGCGGAGGATGGGGGGGGGGGGGGCGGGGAGAGCGGAGGAAGGCGAAGTCTTTGGGGAGAGGTGGGGGCCAGGTTCAGGAGGCAGAGCAAGGTTTGGGGTGAGGCGGAGGTGGGAAGGGGTCTCGGAACCGGGGAGGGAAAGTGTCGCTTCTAGGCCTTGCCGGTCTTTGCGGGGCGGCGGCGAAGGACTGTGCTTCCTGAAGGCGTGAACCTGGGAGAAAGACCCTTGGGGGTGGCATCTCGGGGGTCGGGGGTTGTAGGGGTTCATTCACAGACTAGCTTGCCCCTTGCGACTGGCTCGAAATTGGAGGCGGGGGACACTGATTTCCGAAGCAGCTGGCGGAGCAGAGGGAAGTGTTGAAAAGCTGCCGGTTAAATGCACTTGAAAGGTTGAGACTCCTGCAGTCGGTTGGTTAGGGTCAGGTTGGAGAATGTTCCCGGGAAGCCTCCCTTTCCTGCGGGAACCCTTTGGTTGATGAAATTCTCTTTGCAGTCCTCATGAATTTTTAAGGGTAACAACACTAGAAGTAGCGATATAGACCCTCATCCGGGGCATTGCTTCTGATAAAGGGAGAAAAGTCTCTCCTAGTGTAATTGTCATGGTTATGTCTGATTTAGGCTCATGCCTCTGGGAAGTTTTTGGAAGTGAACATTAATTCTGCTATTACTAATGGTTAACGTATATTGACCATTGATACTTACCATTGAGTCTGCCACTATACTAAGTAGTGTGTTTGTTGTCCCTGTTATAGACTTTGGTGTGTGTGTTTTCCTAGGAGTGCTTGCCTTACTCGTGTAAACCCCATCTGGCCTATCCTGAGACTACCATACCACTGGGCAAGCTTTTGGTGTTCAGGCCACACCAGTTCGCCACTAGCCTCCACTTACAAGAAAAACCTGTACATTTGATGTGGACTTAGTCTTCGGGCTTACTAGGCTCTGATGGAAGAAACCAATAATACAGTCAGTTATTGTTTGACTGAAAGCGAATTTCAGAAGAGCACATTTGTGGTGTTTTTTAAGAACAGGTGTCCTGGCCGGTGCCGTGGCTCACTAGGCTAATCCTCCGCCTGTGGCGCTGGCACCCCCCGGTTCTAGTCCCGGTCAGGGTGCCGGATTCTGTCCCGGTTGCCTCTCTTCCAGTCCAGCTCTCTGCTGTGGCCCAGGAGTGCAGTGGAGGATGGCCTGAGTGCTTGGGCCCTGCACCTGCATGGGAGACCAGGAGGAAGCACCTGGCTCCTGGCTTCGGATGGGCGCAGCGCGCCGGACACAACATGCCAGCTATAGCGGCCTCTTGGGGGGTGAACCGATGGAAGGGAGACCTTTCTCTGTCTCTCTCTCACTGTCTAACTCTGCCTGTCAAAATAAATAAATAAATAAATAAGTGTCCTGCCATAGGTTTACCTAGTAAGCAGACATCTTGATGTCAAGATGAATTTAAAAATTTTTCTTTCCATAGTATGAGATAGAAATTCTTCAGCTTGCCAATGTGATATGTGAGGGTTTAGGAAGGGTTGATATGATAGAATCACATTTTACTCACAGTCATTTCACAAAGTGAAATCTTTATAGATATGTTATCTTTCAAATTCTTTAGGATGTACAATGTGTCAGCATCTCTTTGATAAGTCTAGTGCTGTTCGTTTTTTCCTCCAGCATTGGCGGTAATCTCTTCTGTCGGTTTTACCAGATGAAATAGCTGGCTTGTGTTAGGGCCTTGCTACATGAAAACACATTAAAACCTAGGATAAGAGCAGATGTTTAGGGAGTTAAGACTCCTGCATCCCACATCCTAGTGCCTGGTTTTGATTCCTACTAATGCAGACCATGGGAGGCAGTGGTGATGGCTCAGGTAATTGGGCTCCTGCTACCCACATGGGAGACCTAGATGGAATTCTTGTCTCCGAGCATTTGTGGAGTGAACAGATGGATGGGATATTGCTGTCTCATTGCTCTCTTCATCTTCCCCCCCTTTCTGTTTCTCCCCTTCTCAAATATGTAAATAGATAAATATTTTTTTATAAAAGCAAAAACCTAGGATAACCACCCAGGAGCGGTAAGAAGAATACCAGAATTGCCCAATTTGAGGAAAGAAACAATTTACATTTCTATGCTTGCAATGGAGCATATGCTCAGAGCAGGCCTGGTAGCCAGCACCCCCTCTGGCGAGCGCATATAATTGAGGTTGTGTAAATTACATGGACATAAGTATCTCCCACCACAAATGTGTATTATACTTTATTCTCATCCACTTACCTCCTCTTGTCCTTAACATTGTGGAAACCCTAAACTCCTATACCCATTGTCCTTGACCTCTCTTAGAAAATTCTTTGACACTATTTCTTTGGAAGGCTTCTTCAAGAAGGCTGCCTCCCAGAATTATAGTATGTTGAGATGGTGAAATCCAGTGCCCTGGAGGGTGCTTTTATAACCTACCTTTTTTTCATGTTCTTGAAGGTGGGACTTTTGAAGGGTGTTAGCCATATTTCTCAGAAGTGGCTTTCTTTCTTCTGTTAATCTGAATGCCACCTCTCCATTTCTTTTCTTTTTTAAATTACTTTTTATTTTATTTGAAAGTGGGAGAGAGAGAGAACTTGATTCCCACCTACTGGCTCACTCCATAAATGCCCACAATTGCCAGGACTGGTTCAGGTCAAAATCAGGAGATACCAATGCAGTCCAGGCTTCCCACGTGGTGGCAGGAACCCAGGTACTCGGGCCATCCCCTGCTGCCTCCCTAGGTACACATTATTAGAAAGCTGGGATGGAAAGCCGAGTTGGGACGCCAACCCTGGCTATCTCAAGTGGCATCTTAATCGCTGCACCAAACACTCAGATCTCCATTTTTTAAAGACTTATTTATTATTTATTTGAAACTCAGAGTTTCAAAGAGAGGAGGAAAGACAGAGAAAGGGGTCTTCTGTTTGCTGGTTCACTCCCTAAATGGCCAGGCCAAACCCAGGAGTCAGGAGCTATCCTCCAACGTAGATTTTTGTAGGGGCCCAAGCACTTGGGCCATCTTCTTCTGCTTTTCCCAAGCCATTAGCAGGGAGCTGGATTGGAAGTGGAGCAGGCAGGACTCAAACCTTCACCCATAAGGGATGCCTGCATTGCAGGTGCCAGCTTTACCGCCTATGCCACCATGTCGGCCCCCAGCTCTCCATTTCTTGACAGTGTCTGAAGAAATAAAATTGCTTTGACGTTTCATGAATTCTGCTGAGATGCTATTGAGACATGGTGCCTAAGTCTGTTATCAAGGCTTCCTAATACGAGCACACCCATGTCACCGTCAGCTTAATAGTGCACATTACCTACTGACTTCTTCCTGTTCTTGAGATTGTTGATGTATGTGGAACTTTTTTCTCATTCACACATTGTTTTCATTGTGTCAAAATGTTAAAACTACAGATATTGTTGAAAATTAAAGCTTTATTTACAGATATTTTATTGAGCAGCTGTTGTGTGGGGAAGCATTACAACATGGAAAAAGGTGTGCTTTTTGTCTTAAGGGACCTTACAGTCTAGTAGGGAGAAAAGAAATGATGCGTAAAACAAAGTAGAGGCTTGCGCTGCGGCTCACTTGGCTAATCCTCCGCCTGCGGCGCCGGCACCCCGTGTTCTAGTCCCGGTCGGGGCGCTGGATTCTGTCCCGGTTGCTCCTCTTCCAGTCCAGCTCTCTGCTGTGGCCTGGGAGGGCAGTGGAGGATGGCCCAAGTGCTTGGGTCCCTCACCTGCATGGGAGACCAGGAGGAAGCACCTGATTCCTGGCTTCGGATCGGCGTAGCGTGCCAGGTATAGCGGCCATTTGGGGGGTGAACCAACAGAAGAAAGACCTTTCTCTCGGTCTTTCTCTCCTGTCTAGGTCGGCCTGTCAATAAAAACAACTAAAAACAAGAAGCAAAAGTAGAACAGTGGCAGTTATTTTTAATCACCTTTTTTTTTTTAAGATTTTTTTTTTTTATTTATTTGACAGGTAGAGTTATAGACAGTGAGAGAGAGAGAGAGAAAGGTCTTCCTTCCATTGGTTCATTCCCCAAATGGCCACCACAGCCGGTGCTGCGTCGATCCGAAGCCGGGAGCCAGGCGCTTTCTCCTGGTCTCCCGTGTGGGTGCAGGGCCCAAGCACTTGGGCCATTCTCCACTGCCTTCCCGGGCCACAACAGAGAGCTGGACTGGAAGAGGAGCAACTGGGACTAGAACCTGGTGCCCATATGGGATGCCGGTGCCACAGGCGGAAGATTAGCCAAGTGAGCCACAGTGCCGGGCCATTTAATCACCTTTTTAAGTGTTTTAGAATGTGTATCTTAAATTGAAAAATAAAATACAAATTGTATGTACTTATGATATACAATATGATGTTTTGACATTAGTCCTCTCTTTTTATACAGGTATTTCCGAGTCAGGATCCTTTAGATCGAGCAGATTTCAATGCTGTTGAGTATATCAATACCCTCTTTCCAACAGAGCAAGTAAGTATAGAGTTTTAGATTTTCTTCATTTCAGTAGGCTGTGGCTCACCATGAGTGTTAGGGTTGGTGAGTTATTCTGTGTAATCTAGAGCTCTTTGATAAGTAAGAGGGTTGGATTCAAATCAAACTCCATCACGATCAAATGGGATGGTTAGTTAAATTGTGTTAAAGTGAAATTCTTTGTGTAATTAGCATGTTATTACAAAGTGTACCTTTAGGTTGTAAGAATCCCCTCAAATTTTCTGTAGTAAATTTGGAAAGAGGAAGAATTTTTATAATGTAATAGGAAAAAGGGATAAGGTAGTCAGGTTGTCTAATCATAAATTCACTTTCACCACTATTTCAAGAAGTAAATGTTTAGACTATGTTTCGTTTCACTTTGTTGGGTGATTTGCCTATACACATGAATTTTTCCTACAGAATTATCTTTTGGGTGTCTGGGTGAGAAGTAGAACAGAATTAGAAGCAGCAGAGTTGGTGGGTGGGTGTTGTGGCACATCAAGTTAAGCTGCCATTTGGATGCCTGCATCTGATATCAGAGTGCCTGGGCTGGAGTTTTACCTCTGCCTCTGCTTTGATCCAGCTTCTAGCTGTTGCACCTGGAAGGCAGTAGGTGATGGGTCAAGTACTGAGTTCCTGCTGCTCATTTGGGAGGCCTGGATAGAGTTCCTGGCTCCTGGCTTTGGCTTGGCCCAGTCCTGGCTGTGGTGGGCAATTGGGGAGTGAAACAGCAGATGGAGCATCTCCCTGTTTGTCCTTCTTGCTTTCCTTTTTAAATAAATAAAGAGAAGTAGCAGTAAAGAGAATGGTAGCTAGCGTCCTGCTCATATTTTTCATAAAGTTATTTTTTTAAGAGTTTATTTATTTATTATTTGAGAGGTAGAGTTACAGACAGAGAGGGTGAGAGAGAGGTCTTCTGTCCTCTGGTTCACTTCCCAAATGGCCATAATGCCCAGAGCTGAGCCAATCTGAAGCCAGGAGTCAGGAGTTTCTTCCAGGTCTCCCATGTGGGTGCAGGTGCCCAAGGACTTGGGCCATCTTCTGCTGCTTTCGCAGATCATAGCAGGGAGCTGGATCAGAAGAGGAGCTGCTGGGATACGAACTGGCACCCATATGGGATTCCAGTGCTGCAGGTGGAGGCTTAGCCCACTACACCACATCGCCAGCGCCCATGAAATTATTCTTTAAGCAGATGTTCATTGGGCGCTTATCATATGTTCTCAGCCACTGCACTGGGTGCAAAAATGAGCCTTAGTCCATGCCTTAAGGTCTTCATGATTAAGTAGAGGGAGACACTAGTGAGTGCCCTAAGAAAGGTGTGGAGTGGTATAGTGAGGAACAAAGAAGAGTTCTTGTGACAATGAAAACCTCAGGAAGAAGGTAGCCCTCCCTTGGAGTCTTGCAGGATTCATTCACTGTTCATTTAGTCGAACTTGACAGTCATTTAGTAAGGGTCTGCCAAGTGCCAGGCACTGTTTTAGAAGCTACAGAGAAGTGGTAGACGTGACAGCTAAGTTCTTGGTCTCATGGAGTCTGTTGTGGGGGAGGAAGACAAGAAATAAGTCAACAAATAAACCCATAAGAAATTATCAAGGATGGATAATTCTGTCATGAAAAGCCAGTATAGGGATGGGCATTAGGCCTAACTGGTAAGATGCTGGTTGGGACACCCACATCCCATATTGAAGTACCTGAGTGTGAGTCTCAGCATTGCTTCTGATTCCAGCTTCCTGCTGAGGTGGACCCTGAACCCTGGGAGGCAACAGGTCATGGCTTAGGTAGTTGGGTCCTTACTACTCAGATGGGAGACCTGGATTGAGTTCCTGGCTCCTGGCTTCAACCTGGCCCAGCCCTGGCTGTTACAGGCATTTGGGGAGTAGATAAGCAAATAAGAATCAATCTTTCTCTCTCTCTCTCAAATAAGAATCAATCTCTCTCTCTCTCTCTCTCTCTCTCTCTCAATTAAGAATCAATCTTTCTCTCTCTCTCAAATAAGAATCAATCTTTCTCTCTCAAATAAGAATCAATCAATCTTTCTCTCTCTCTCTCTCTCTCTCTCTCTCACTCTCTCATGCGCGTGCGCACGCGCACATGATGGCCTGCATCTTTAAAGGAAGCTCCCTTTAAACTGAGACCTAATAGATATGAAGGAGGCAGGCTTGTGGCATTCTGGGGGAGCCTCATTCTCAACAGGGAGCAGCGAGGTAAATGTTCTAAGATGATGAGGGAGAAGAAGGTCATTTTACACATAGGCTAAGGCTCAGGGACAGGAAATGCTAAGTGTGCGTGGTGTCAGGGCTGTGCGGGGTTGAGGCTGAGGGGTTAAGTAGAGCAGGAATCCTGAAGACTCTCTGTCCTCTAGGCTTTCCGGTCCCCGACATTTGGGAAACTGCCTGCTTCCCAGTGAGGCATTAGTTCTCACAGAACTAATTTCTCCTGGGCTAATTTTTAAGTCTGTATCCCCAAAATATTATGTACTTATGAAGCCTGTGTGAAGGCTGGGGATGGAGACACAATCTGAGAACTATTTTGGAGACAGAAATCATGGAATTTAGTGTCTGAAGGATTGAAGGTAGAGGCTTTTGTGGAATCTCAAAATCACTTATTTATTCAATAAAAACCCACCTTTCTGCTGAGCTCTAGAAGGAAATTAGAGATGGACATTTGGCCTGGCAGTTAAGATGTGGAGTACCTGTTCCTGGTTGTGGCTCCTGGCTCTGGCTCCTGCTAATGAGGACCCTGGGAGGCAGCAGTAGAGTCTCAGTGGGTGGGTTCGTACCACCTACATGAGAGACCTAGAATGAGCTCCTGGCCCCAGCCCAGCCCTGGGCGTTGTGGAGATTTGGGATTGAAACAGCGAATGGGAGCAAACCAGCAGATGGGATCTCTCTCTGTCTGTCTGTCTCCATCCTTCTCTGTTTCCCTGCCTCTCTAATTAATTAATTTGTTAATTAATTTTTAAAATTCATGGCTAAGCAAGACAGAAATGGTCCTTACCAACATAGAGCTTCCAGTCTATCTCTAAATAGATAATTGCACAATTAACATAATGTAAGTAAATCATGGTTACAGTGACTTATTTGTATAATTATTATTGTTTCTTCCTCTTAAAAGAGCCCTAACTTCTGCCACACCTATAGCAGTAGTTAGGATGTTCACTGTGCTGCAGGCACCATTCTAAGTGCTCAGCAAATTAGTAAATTCTCCACTTTGTTTTCATTCTTGTTTAACAATGTGGAGAGTAAAGCACAGAGATAAGGAAGGCTCAGCTTACTGGGGTGGCCATGAGGGAACCTCACGAGTTCTTCTCTGGGGAAAGCAGTCTGAGGGATCCACAAAGGCTCCCCTAAGGAAATGACATTTTACTGGGCATTGCAGCCATGTGAAGGATTTTGGTCTTTGATTCCTAGCCCGACTTACTACGTGGGTGCTGACGCCTTTACCCAATATTGAGAGTGAAGATGAAGAACAGGTTTCAGTGGCAAGTAGAGCAGGAGTAGGGTGTAGGAATAGTCATTTTGGATCGTATTTGAGCCATCCAGGTAGAAGTACATAGTTGGATGTTTGAGTGTGGAATCCATAATCCCCATCATTGTTAGTATCTTGGTATATATCCTTCCAAACTTTCTGAAGGATGTGTTCATTTTTTTTTTCTTTTTTTGACAGGCAGAGTGGACAGTGAGAGAGAGAGAGACAGAGGGAAAGGTCTTCCTTTTGCCGTTGGTTCACCCTCCAATGGCCGCTGCGGCCAGCGTGCTGCGGCCGGTGCACCACGCTGATCCGAAGCCAGGAGCCAGGTGCTTCTCCTGGTCTCCCATGGGGTGCAGGGCCCAAGGACTTGGGCCATCCTCCCCTGCACTCCCAGGCCACAGCAGAGAGCTGGCCTGGAAGGGGGGCAACCGGGACAGAATCTGGCACCCCGACTGGGACTAGAACCCGGTGTGCCGGCGCCACTAGGTGGAGGATTAGCCTATTGAGCTGCGGCACCAGCCGGATGTGTTCATTTTGCAAATAAAGTTTAAAAAATTATATACTGTGTGATTGTCTTTTTTAAGATTTCATAAATGGCCTTTATAACTCATTCTCTGAAAGGAGAATTCGAGAAATTATCTAGAGATAGACATTTGGTAACAGCTGGTATAAAGATAGCATTATAAGCCTTGAAATATTTGTCCCACCTTATCAAGAATGCTGATCCCCCCAAAAAACAAAAATAAGTATTTGAATTGAAAATTACATAGGAGGGGCCGGTACTGTGGCATAGCAGGTAAAGCCACTGCCTGTAGCGCTCGCATCCCATATGGGTGCTGATTCAAGTCCCAGCTACTCTACTTCTGATCCAGCTCTCTGCTATGGCCTGGGAAAGCAGCAGAAGATGACCCAAGTCCTTGGGCCCCTGCACCCATGTGGGAGACTGGAAGAAGCTCCTGGGTCCTGGCTTCAGATCGGTGTAGCTCCAGCCGTTGCAGCCATCTGGGGAGTGAACCAGCGGATGGAAGACCTTTTTCTCCCTCTGCTTCTGCCTCTGCCTCTCTGTAACTCTGCCTTTCAAATAAATAAATCTTTTTTAAAAAAATTATGTAGGAAATTCACCTTGCGGCGCCGGCACACCGGGTTCTAGTCCCGGTTGGGGCGCCGGATTCTGTCCCGGTTGCCCCTCTTCCAGGCCAGCTCTCTGCTATGGCCAGGGAGTGCAGTGGAGGATGGCCCAGGTGCTTGGGCCCTGCACCCCATGGGAGACCAGGAAAAGCACCTGGCTCCTGGCTCCTGCCAGGATCAGCGCGGTGCGCGCGGCTGCAGCGGCGGCCATAGAGAGGGGTGAACCAGCCGCCAAAAGGGAGGACTTATCTTTGTCTCTCTCTGAGCTGTCCAGTGTTGCTTGTCTAAAAAAAAAGAAAAGGAACAATAAAAAATTATATTTATGTAGGAAATAGCCAGATTTTCATTTCTTCCTGAAACATTGGTGTATGTATTTGTTTGGTTTTATATTTAATTTTTAC